AGCGTTATGGTATTATGTATGTCTGTATGTTAATCTTTTAGCGTGTGTGTATCAAGTGCTTTGTTAGTCACATGCCCCTGCAGCTGCATGTAATCGGGAGATGAGATTTGCAAACGTGTTCACAGTTTACCCTCTTCCATATCCTAGGAATACACTAGCGAATGTAAACTGACCTTACAGTATTACAACACTCTAAAATATTATCAGAGTGTTACTGTATGATCACGTCAATTAAATATGTCTTTTTATACACAAAATTCCTATTAATCAAAAAGTATTAACACAAAACATGTACACGACGCCTCTCCTAAACAAAGAAAACGGAAGGGAGGAGAGGAGGAGTTTTTATTACACCGATCAGCAAGAAATGAAGGGCCAGGGCAGTGAATTCTAGCGTACGTGCAGGGGCGAGAGCAGTGTGGTGCGGTTCACTGTAATGGAAGGATGATGAGAAAGGAGACAAAGAGAGGAAGAGGAAAAAAAAGTGCGGAACAGGGATGGAATAATTGCTTAGCAGGTAGAATAATGAAGTACTGAGAGGAAAGGCAGCAGATGAGGGGAAAGAGGAGAGGAAAAGATTTGCATCGATGATAATGTTAGCTTTGCGGACACTGTCGATACTGGGAACAGGTTGCCGACTGGCGCAGTATGTGAAGCTTCGCCTACATATTTTTGTGCTGACCGATGCGTATCTAATTTGCTGTGTCCGCTTAACCCATTCCAGGTTACTGTTACACTAGTTAACAGACTTTACTGAAACAGACGATCGATAAGGATAGTGGATCTGATATTATGCATTCAATGAGCATGCACTATGTATTGCTTCCTTTCATAGATGTCACAGTAATGATGCAATAAAAAAAAATTAAGTACTAACCCGAACCTTCTCATTCATTCTTTCAAAGTAATTGTAAGACTCCTTCGTTCGCTGTTCCTTACTTCATTTTAATTTATTTAAATTTAAACCATTAGAAAGACATATTCTCTCCAGGATACATCTATTGCTGTCATCTGAACGTCAGCAGTACGACAACAAAAAAGTCTTGGCGTCACTGCGAGTACATCAACGTAAAAATGGGGATAATGATGACTCAATCATTTTACCGACAATCCAGCAATTTGCACAATGCAGCATCGCCAGCATAGAACCGCAATCCAAGCCGGAACTAAGGTCGAACAAGAGTAAACGCTTTGCAAACATACTCTTCTGTGAATAACAATAACGGCTGCGTCGCTGTTGAAATGATGATAGCGTTCTTTGTGCAATAATAGCGCGAACCTGTTTTTAAAAAATAATGTTGACAGCATCTGTTCTATAATGTCGAGAACGTTAACCTTACAACGATGTTCATTTAACTTGTTCTTTTCTTCTTGCTCTCTCCACTCTTTCGCCTTTTCCACAACTTTCTCTTTCATATCCTTCCTCCCTCTCCCTCTTCCACCGAATTATCTCCCCCTTCATTCTTCCTCAACTGTTTCTTTTCCTTCCTCTCTTCTATCCTCCTCTCCATATTTCATTCAATTCTAACAAAGACATCTGACATAGCGATTTATCCTCCGATGAATAGGGTAATTCGTGGGCCTTCCTTATTTCCCAGAATGTCTGCTCAAGTACGATAATTTACCGCATAACTAAAGAGAAAACACGTGTTAATGTTTCACTTGCGCCCATCAACGTGAAGGGAAAATGCACGTGCGGGTGACAGGCATCAACACTTGTCTTGTTACTATACAAGGCTTTCGGTCTTGCGGGCTCTGTGCTTGTGTGTGTGTGTTTGTGTGTGTGTGCGTGCGTGTGTGTGCGTGTGTGTGCGTGTGTGTGTGTGTGTGTGTGTGTGTGTGTGTGTGTGTGTGTGTGTGTGTGTGTGTGTGTGTGTGTGTGTGTGTGTGTGTGTGTGTGTGTGTGTGTGTGTGTGTGTGTGTGTGTGTGTGTGTGTGTGTGTGTGTGTGTGTGTGTGTGTGTGTGTGTGTGTGTGTGTGTGTGTGTGTGTGTGTGTGTGTGTGTGTGTGTGTGTGTGTGTGTGTGTGTGTGTGTGTGTGTGTGTGTGTGTGTGTGTGTGTGTGTGCGTGCGTGCGTGTGTGTGTGTTTGTGTGTGTGTGTGTGTGTGTGTGTGTGTGTGTGTGTGTGTGTGTGTGTGTGTGTGTGTGTGTGTGTGTGTGTGTGTGTGTGTGTGTGTGTGTGTGCGTGTGTGTGTGCGTGTGTGTGTGTGTGTGTGTGTGTATATATATATTAGTATGACGAAGGCTCATTCTGGGAGTTAAATCTCCAACGAAACCAACGCTAACCACTCGATGGCACTCTCTTCAGTATCACAGAAACTAAGAAAACCAAAAACCATGCATACCATTAAGAAGTGCTAATTATGTTTACCTGGTATGTTGACAACACAGGCAGGTGTGTTGATTCGACAAAGAAAACGGAGTGTTGCTGTTGAACAGCTCCGTTGCACGGAAGTGACTCAGAGTCGCCATTCAGTGCTCGTCTCTGCGTCAAGGATAA